ACCGCTCGGATCTGATGTGCTTCACAATCACGACGCTGCCAAAAAACTACGCAGAGGAGAACAGTTTGAAAATCTGAAATTCATCGATACGAAAAGCAGAATCAAAACTAGATACTCATTTTTTGCAGGTATTGATTCTGAAAAAGTAGCATTAATAGGACAGAAATGAAGCTTTAGAATATAAGAGCACGTGGACCTGGTTTAGAACTAACCTGATTCATTCAAGGTTCAAGGTTCAAGGTTCAAGGTTCTTTATTTTGTCATTCAAACATGTGAGAGAAACACATGACAGAACGAAATGTGCTCCCCGAGGCCCATTGATCCAGAAAGAGATAAAAAACAATAATAATAATAATAAGCAATGTTAAAAAATAAATACATTTAAAACAACAACATTTAGCAGTTCCAATGAACAAGTAGTAAAACGTGGCAAGATAGAGAAAGAGGCAACCAAAGCAGGAAGTCAGTGTGCACTGTTCACAAGTCTGACAGCCTCAGGAAAGAAGCTGAACTTCAGCCGAGAAGTTCTAGCTTTAATGCTCCTCAGTCTCCTCCCAGAGGCAGAGGAACAAACAGGTGGTGGAGGGTGCGAGGCTCCACCATGATCCTGGAGCCCGTCTTCTACAACGCTCCTCATAAATGTCACAGATGGGTGTAAAGTCACATCCAGTGATCTTCTCTGCTGCTCTGACCACACGCTGTAGATCTGTCCTGTCCTGGGCTGAGCAGTGGCCGTACCACACTGTGATGGACTGAGTCAACACACTTTCCACTCCACATCGATAAAAAGACATGAGAGCAGGAGGCCTAGTCCAGCAGCCTCGAGTCTCCTCAAAAAATACAGACGCTGGTGGACCTTCTTAACAATGCTCTCTGCATTAGTGGACCAAGTGAGTCTGTCGGTGATGTGCAGACCCAGGTATTTCCAGCCGGACACCCTTTCATGAGACGGTTTCACGTTGTGGAAACCGTGTGACCTCGCAGCATTAGGATTCGTTCGCTCGACGGTAGGCGGGTACTTTTTTATTTAACCAATCGCTGCTGTTTGGTCGTGACGTTTGTAATGCTGCAAATCCCATAGGAAGAAGAACAATAACGTCTTTCCCCTTGATAAAATTCACCAAACATTCTCTTTGTTCCGGCTTTAAATCCTCGATCTCTGGAATCGTTGCCAAAACAGAATGTCTGACTCTTCTGGGGTTTTTGCGAACGACCTGGTCGCTGGAGAGAAATGAAATTGAGCGGAGGCACCAGCCTGGATAGTTTAGACCTGGTTTAGTCCTGGTTTAGTCCTGGTTTAGTCCTGGTTTAGTCCTGGTTCAGTCCTGGTTTAGTCCTGGTTTAGTCCTGGTTTAGTCCTGGTTTAGTCCTGGTTTAGTCCTGGTTTAGTCCTGGTTTAGTCCTGGTTTAGTCCTGGTTAGTCCTGGTTTTAGTCCTGGTTTAGGGTTTACCTGGTTTAGACCTGGTTTAGTCCTGGTTTAGTCCTGGTTTAGACCTGGTTTAGACCTGGTTTAGTCCTGGTTTAGACCTGGTTTAGTCCTGGTTTAGACCTGGTTTAGACCTGGTTTTAGACCTGGTTTAGACCTGGTTTAGTCCTGGTTTAGACCTGTTTAGACCTGGTTTAGACCTGGTTTAGTCCTGATTTTAGACCTGGTTTAGACCTGGTTTAGTCCTGGTTTAGTCCTGGTTTAGACCTGGTTTAGTCCTGGTTTAGACCTGGTTTAGTGGTTTATTTTACTCATTTATTTTGTTCCAGCTACAGTTTTGTTTGTTTGTTCAGAGGAAGGAAACTTTTTATGCGACACATTTGACATTTTCACTGTTTTGATGATAAAAATGTTTGTGTTTCATATGAACTTTGCACAAGAAGAAGTGATTTAACAAACACTTTTAGTTACACAGACACGATTTAGACTTTATTTTAATTGAACTGTATTGAATCGATTTGAAATGTATCGTATCGAATCAAATGTGCGCTGTATCGAGACATGTATCGCATTCAAAACATCTTAATGATACCCAGCCCGAGTTATTGATTTGTCTGGAATGTTCCACAGTACGGCATTTAACAGCTCTACTTTACATTTATTCAGTTACAGGTGTTTTTACAGCTCAAAAATATGTAGATCTGACCTGTAACCTGGTCTGGTTTGGTGTCTCCATGGAGAAAAGCATTTGACCGACCCTCCAGAAAAGTTACACAATGCAGCTTTTTGATGTTGAAAATCATATTCTGTTGTCTGCCTAAATAAAGACTTCACCTGCAGGGGGCGCTCATGCAAAAACTACTATTTATGCAGAAAAAAATACATCTAAACAGTGTATTTATATAAAGACAGATTCAACGTGTGAATCATGAGTTTAGTCTGAATTTCTACAGATAAATACCCGAAATACAAACATTTTCTGCTCTTGTCCCATGAACATTTTGGTCGTTTAACCCTCAGCCTTCAGCTCGATAAAAATCTTTAATCTCTCTTTTCTCTTTGTCTCGTTCCAGTCCGAGTCCAGGAGTCCGAAGAAAAGTCCAGAGCCCAACGTGGATCTGCTGGGACTGGGTAAGAACCTCCTGCTCTCATGAACGTGTGTAATGTCCAGTGTTGGGAGTAATGTATTATAAAAGTAATGTATTACAGTAATGCGTTGATTTTTGCTGTAACGCAGTAATGTAAGGCAGTACAGGGGAAAAAATTGTAATATTTTACTCGGTACAAATGTGAGTAACGCGCGTTACAATGCTTTTTTAACCTGGATTGAAGTGGTGGGTTTTTCTTCATAGAAATTCGCTAAAATCACCGTGAAATCAGCAGCGGTGAAACGCCGGAGACGCGGCCGGATAAACCTTCAGTTAACCACGGGCGAAAGGACCGACCCAGAACTCCACGCTGTTTAGACCTGGTTTAGACCTGGGTCACTTCTGGTTTAGACCTGGTTTACAGTCGTCCCTCGCTCTAACGTGATTCACTTTTCGCGGTCTCGCTGTTTCGCTGATTTTTAGAATTTTTTTTTTTGTGCAATTTTGCATGCCTTTTGTTTTTAGTGTATGAACACGTATTGCGTTCCTCCTGCTGTGTCCTGATTGGCTGAGGGACTCCTGTCTCCTGTACAGTACAGAATATGTTCAGCTGCCAAATTTAAATAAATGTTCAATCTCTAGCAGTGTGATTCTGAAGTGCTGTATGTCTGCAAGTTTTCTCTCCGACAAAATCCACAACGTCGACGAAATGTTCTGCACCGACAAAGTCTCCTGCGCTCACACCCAAAAGACAGAGGAAGATGCAAACCATCACACAAAAAGTTGGACTTCTGGACACGTTGAAGGAAGGTAGAAGTTACGCGCTGTAGAAGTTACGCGCTGTAGCAGAGTTTTGCACCGGGTCTTGTACCCGCAAATAGTTGCTGAAATCAGGACCGTGAGCCCGAGCAGCAGAGTGTCTATAAAGCACGATCCGGTGACAGCCGCTCTTACCTCCATGAGGTGCGGAGCAGAGCCGCTCCTTTCTCCTGCGGTCACCTTCGAGCCCGTCCCCACAGTGAGTCCTGTTTTAGTCCTAGTTCAGTTCTGGTTTAGTCCTCCTCTTCAGTCCTGGAATCAGTCTGAGGTTAGTCCTGTTATAGTCCTGGTTCAGCTCTGGTTTAGACCTTGTTTAGTCCTGGTTCAGTCCATATACGGCTCAAAAGTTCAGCTTTTTCGCAGTTATTTTGGTGAGAGTAACTTAAAGTAATGCAATAGTAATGTAATGCCTTACATTTTAAATGCAGTAATACTGTAATGTAACGAATGACTTTGAAATGACAGTAATAAGTCATAAATAACGCATTACAGTTTTAAAGTAACTTGCCCAACAGTGGTAATGTCTGTGTCTAATCATAAAACATGAGAGAGAGAGAGAGAGAGTGCTGTTAGAGAATCAGGAATTGTGCAGTTAGAATGCTAGTTATTGTTAGGATTACGGTGGTGTCTGGAAGTTGTGTAAAGCTTTGCGGTGATTAATGAGGATGTTCAGTGTGTAAGTGAGAAATAACTTTGGGCCACTGCAAAACAACTTTCTGACTGTTTTTCATGTTTTTAAGAAAGTCAAAATCAGGTACAGTGACTTTTATTTTCATTTATTACAAAAAATTGACTCTCATGAGCTTTACAACATTTCAGTTCAGTCACAAAATCCTGTCAGTGCTTTTATTGTCGTCTCTTTGACAAAACTAAAGACGCAGACGTTCAGAAGTAAGTAGAATAAATCCGTGTATCATTCGATCATTTTTTTTTTAATATAAAATCAAAAATAAGAAAACGAAAAAACAACTATTTTCTTCGTTATTTGTCTCCAAAACCAAAATGAAAGAACAGATAATGATTTGTTTTTTCAGTTTTCGATTTTGTCTTTAAATGAAAAATGGGAAAAACAGATAACGGACGTTTCCCGTTTACGTGACTTTCGTGATTGAGATGCCGAACTTTTGCGCCGCATACGGACTGAACCAGGAGTTATCCAGGTCCGGGACCAGAGCGGGACCAGAGCGGGACCAGAGCGGGACCAGAGCGGGACCAGAGCGGGACCAGAGTGGACTCCGAGCTTTGACTTTGAGCCTCCGCGGGGTCCGAGCTAGAGGTCTGCGCGGGACAGAATTTTGAGTCCCGTTCCCGCCCGCATCTGCGATATTTTATCCCGCACCCGCCCGCAAGTCCCGCAGGAGGGGAACCTTTGCTTTCTTAAACTCTATCAAAAAGGGAGAAGTGAAAGTAATTGGCTCCGTATGAGAGAAGGCGCGGTGGGCGATCCGCCAGCATGGTTAAAGGTTGTATAGAGGATTTTCCAAGGAACGAGAAATCCAGCGACTGTTTGTCCTTTTTCAAATGTTGCTCCTGCGTGAAACCACCCCCCCTCCCCTACAGCTCCTACGTAGAAACACCTCCTCCCTCCTCCTCCTTACGCCACAAACAGGTTTGTTTACAGCCGGTGCTGCACATGACTTGTAAACAACTAACTACAGTGTTGGTTAGACAAGACGGAGAAGTGAGGAGCGGGGGGAGAGGAGAGGAGCAGGAAAGGGGTGCAGGGAAGGTTGCACGGAGATTCAGTGCGAATGAACTAGCTACAACACGCAGCAGCAAGCGGACTCTTTCTTTGCATTGAAAATGACGTTTTCAGACATAGGATATCGCTTTCGTGTCCTGAAAAACGTTTGTCTAACTCTTGGAAATAAAGTAAGTTTTCATAATAAGCAGAAGTTTCCTGTCCAGGAGTAATTTGTGGACCAGTGCTTCAGTCTTTAGACTCTTCGTCTGCTTCAGTCGCGCCATCGCTGCTGAATGAATGAATCTTCAAGAATCACCTTAGTTTGGCTTCGCTGCTTTTCCCCTTGTCTTCTTCTTTCAGCGACCTCAAAAACGGACTTTCTTTTGCGGCGAACTGCTCCTGGATTCTTGTCGCCATTGCAACAAACTTTGTGCGAACTGCGAGGAAGATATAGGTCAAAAAAAGCCGCTAAGAACTGTTGCGTTGGTGGAGTAAACAGCGTCTGTGCGTCTTGCGTCTGTGGACTGCGTGACAGTCGTACGTAAACCACGTAACGGCGGCGCAGGCAAGTCAGTTACACTAGAAACGTAGGGAGTTTGATTGACAGCCTGTCAGCTCACAGATAACGAGGCAGTGTCGTTATCTATTGGCAAATGTTTAGCCCCACCACGTCCAGAGTTGATGAATTTTTATTCTCTTTTTTTTGGTCATCATAATTACAAGGCGACTGCATCTATAATCTATCACTGACAATTTGAAACAAAAAAAATCCTCCATACAACCTTTAAGTCCTGGCTAAATCCTGTTTTAGTCCTGGTTTTAGACCTGTTTTTAGACCTGGTTTAGTCCTGGTTTAGTTCTGGTTTTGTTGTACGTAAGGAGGGACTGTCCGCGCGGCGCACGGGACGGGTGGGTCAGTCTGCGCGGCGCATGGGAGGGGTGACGCTCTGCTGCTTAAAATGTTTTTATTAATGCCAAATAAAATCTCCAGCACAAATTATGCATGATATTCTTACATTCATCTTTTTTATATTTTACTTTAGCCCCACTCCCGCCAGCAGCTTTCAAAATGTGTCCCGCGTCGCAGTGGTTTGTGTCGGGAAACGGTCGTCATCCGTTTTTCCCATTTTTCATTTAAACACAAAATCGAAAACTGAAAAAACAAATCATGATCTGTTTTTTCATTTTGGTTTTGGAGACAAATAATGAAGAAAACTGTTGTTGTTTTTGTTTTGTTTTCTTATTTTTGGTTTTATATTGAAAAACGAATGAACGAACGACACACAGATTAGAATCGTCTCATGAGAAATTAACAGAACACTGGAGTTGCGTGAAAGAGATAGTAAAACTCCATGACTTTTCCAGGATTTCCATGACCGTGGGAACCCTGTAGACCAGGAGTGTCAAACTCATTTTGTTCCAGGAGTCGTATTCAACCAACTTTGATCCCAAAGTGTCCGGATCAGAAAACTCATGTCATATAAACCCCAAAAATAACAATAAGTTCAAATATTTGTGCAGAGAAACACAAATCTATTGCAGAAATCTTTTTTAATTGATGAACTCTTTCTTTTACAAAATATTATAATATTATGAACAACCTGAAACTTTAAGAAAAATACAATTTCAACACAAAGTTTTAACATGAACTTGTCTGTAAACAGGAATAAGTCCATTTTTGTTGTAAAATCCTGCACTCGGCTCCACTTTTCTCATGTTGGACATTTTTCTGATGAGGGTGTCACGGTCAACAGTCAAAACGATCGTCCTTTAAGAGCGTTTGGAAAGAGACAAGTCTTCATTTGTGCTGCTCTGGTGGGAGGGGCCACGTACAGAGACGCTGGAGACGCTGCTGTGATAAACACCACAGAAAATTAACAAGATTTTAATAGAAAATATCATTCAAATATTTTAGTAGAAAATCAGCCGAGGGCCAGATTAAAGGTCTTGGAGGGCCAGATCTGGCCCTTGGGCCGCATGTTTGACACCCCTGCTGTAGTCCGTCAAATTGAGCTACGGCGACGTTTAATTCTCACTTATTTCCGTTGAAGCCGTGAGTGACTTGTGTTTTCCTCTCACACTCGCACGTCTGACAGCAGCACTGAAAACTTAATAACTCGTCAAACTCTGTTCAAACATTCATAAGCGAAACTGTCATTTCTCAATTACTTTTCTAATATTTCAGGTCAAATATTGTGACTTGGTGGTGGAGCAGACCTGAGCGTCCTCTGCTCCGTCACGTTACATCTGTGTTATCTCCGTATTAGCCCCGACACTCGGCACAGCCCCGGTCGCACTCGCCGCTCCGGGAAAACCCAGGACCGAGCTTCATTTGCGGCGTGATTGGCAGTTTTCTCCGAGCGTTCGAGTCCTGACAGGATCGAGAGTCTGTTATTCCAAACGCCCGGTGTGTTTGTGGTCTAATAAATAGTTTTGTTTTGAAATGTAAAACGTGTGATTGAAGTGTGAAAAAGATGCCCGCAGGAAACCGTGAGATGAATGAAGCGCGTGTAAACATCTCTGTGTAAAAGTCGATCTCG